TCCTGTCCAGCCTGTGAGCGAGCTGAACATGATGAAGAGCCTGATGTGCAGAGGTCACAGATGAGAGGCGAATGGCTGCAGATGGTGACTCACAGCCAGCAGAGCGGTAGCAGGCCTCTTTAGCCCCCACCCTCCACCCCCTCAGGGTGGGGGGTGAACTCTGCAGATGCCCCTTTGAACTCTGGGTCTCCCCTGACCAAAGGCAGCCATTGCGAGTGGGATGCAGAGAAGGGTGGGGCATGTGAATGGGACTTAAGATCTGAGAGGAAAAGGATACGGTCCAACCTACTTGGGGTGGATGTCTAGTTTTTGCTTATGAATGGGAAAGTGTTTTCTCAAATGAATGCCACGTTACTTCCCTCCGTTTAATAAAAGTTCTTTCTATGTTTGGACTCTGCTGGCGAGCGGGGGAGCATTGCCTCTCAGAGATGCCCGGACATGTGAATTTCCCGGGTTAGTGGGTGGGGGCTCGAGCCGGCTCTGTGGAGCCCTCCCTCCCCTCCCCCGATTCAGAATGAAAAGTTTCCAAAATGTCGGAATTTCCTGCAGAACCGATATTGCAGTTTCCAACCAGCAACCTTATCCCAGGGCAATTTTAAAGTAAGTAATTGTTAAGCGCATACATCATCTTTGACCCGTGAACTTCGATGCCCTGTGAGCAGCTTACGAAGCACATCAAGCCATGAAGGGGATCAGAGGTGAGGGCAGGAAGGTCAGCTTTTTACTGCAGCTTTACTATACCAATAGCCACTCAAATATCTGCAGTTCATTCCATAAGGGTAGAGGAATCCAGTCCAGGTTTTCCACAGAGGAAAAGGGAAGCTTATATAGGAAACTGCCAGGGAATGAACCATGAGTTTTATCTACCAAGGGTTCCCAGTTCAGACAGATCCTGGACTGGATTTCAGTTTCCACTTGGAGTGGACTCTGGGTCACAGCACTTGGAGTACTCCTGACAGTTTTGAATCTTGGCATTAAGCCATGATGTTTCTGGATGGTTTTGCATGTGCCCTTCCCACTATGTGAAATCTCCGTCACTGGAGATATTTAAGAGCAGCTTAGACCGACATCTGTCAGGGATGGTCTAGATCCGGGGGTGGGGAACTCACAAATCCTCATCACCGCCCCTAACTGCGGAGAAAGACACTCCCCACGTTCTCCTTGCACACCAGAACCTGGAGGGGGGGGCAAGCTAGTAAATTTTGTGTGCTCCAGCCCCACAGATGGGCAGCGGGGGAGGAGGGGCTGAGGCATCTGTGTGGGAGCCCTGAGCCTCAAGAGCCAGATCCAGGCAAGCCGAGGGCTGCATCTGGCCCCTGAGCCTTAGATCCCCCACCCCTGTTCTATGATTCTGTTTCCCCTGGGTATTCCGTTCCCTACTCCACAGATTTCCCACAGAAAATACCTATGGGCCAAGCATGAGGCAGCCAATATAATCATAGACTCATAGGGCTGGAAGAGACCTCAGGAGTCATCAAGTCCAGCCCCCTGCCCAAAGCAGGACCAATCCCAACTCAATCAACCCAGCCAGGGCTTTGTCAAGTTACAGTTGCAAGCAGGGTCTGACTGAATGCTTCTCTGGCAGCTGGCTGAGCGGAGGAAAGAGACCCTGGGGCTGTGTCTAGACTGGCATGATTTTCCGGAAATGCTTTTAACGGAAAAGTTTTCTGTTAAAAGCATTTTCAGAAAAGAGCATCTAGATTGGCACGGACGCTTTTCCGCAAAAAAGCCCCCATTGCCATTTTCGCAATCAGGGCTTTTTTTCGGAAAACAAATCTGAGCTGTCTACACCGGCCCTTTTGCGCAAAAGGACTTTTGCCCGAACAGGAGCAGCATAGTATTTCCGCAAGAAGCACTGATTTCTTACAGCAGGAAGTCAGTGCTTTTGCGGAAATTCAAGCAGCCAGTGTAGACAGCTGGCAAGGTTTTCCGGAAAAGCGGCTGATTTTCCGGAAAAACTGACCAGTCTAGACACGGCCCAGGTGTATTCATATAAATACAGTTTGCTCCTGCCTTGCTTAGGCTTGCTAGCTATTCAGCAGAGGGAGCCGTGTTTTGCTCACTGTTATCCACTTAGTTGGTGCTGGGTCCTACACATGATGTTGCTACTGAATGCAGGGGTAGTAAAATCCGGTTGCCAATGTGTAAGTATTGGGGGCGCAGAGAAAAGCAGGAGCATGTTTAGTCTGTAAGGGACTCACCTTGCTGAGTCGAGGCTCGACTGTCGGAGCCCTCTGAGCCCTGGTTTCCATGGGAGTCGTTTCGCAATAACCCCCCTTATTTTGAAACTGTAAGCGAAGCGTCCACGCTACCAACCCCGTTATTTCAAAATCCGTGCTCTTGCTTTCCTCGGGGAAAAACGCTTATTTCGAAATAGTTATTTCGGGAGTTATTATTTCCAGTGTAGCTATTTCGAAATCATTTCCTCGTGTAGACACGCCCCAAGGGTAAGGGGGAGGGCAGGTGTTTTGGTTAGGAGGCTGCACATTCTCCCCTCCCCAGACCAACTTGACCTGTTCTCTCTACTAAAGAATAGAGTCAAACGGGGGCTTCTTTGGGATTTGAATGGTGGCAGAGCTGTGTTTCCGCCTGCTAAGGCAGCTGGAAGCATGTGAGAGGGGGTCGAGTTCCTGTCCAGCCTGTGAGCGAGCTGAACATGATGAAGAGCCTGATGTGCAGAGGTCACAGATGAGAGGCGAATGGCTGCAGATGGTGACTCACAGCCAGCAGAGCGGTAGCAGGCCTCTTTAGCCCCCACCCTCCACCCCCTCAGGGTGGGGGGTGAACTCTGCAGATGCCCCTTTGAACTCTGGGTCTCCCCTGACCAAAGGCAGCCATTGCGAGTGGGATGCAGAGAAGGGTGGGGCATGTGAATGGGACTTAAGATCTGAGAGGAAAAGGATACGGTCCAACCTACTTGGGGTGGATGTCTAGTTTTTGCTTATGAATGGGAAAGTGTTTTCTCAAATGAATGCCACGTTACTTCCCTCCGTTTAATAAAAGTTCTTTCTATGTTTGGACTCTGCTGGCGAGCGGGGGAGCATTGCCTCTCAGAGATGCCCGGACATGTGAATTTCCCGGGTTAGTGGGTGGGGGCTCGAGCCGGCTCTGTGGGGCCCTCCCTCCCCTCCCCCGCTTCAGAATAAAAAGTTTCCAA